GCTAGCATAGGTGCATTTCTACCTGTTGTATCGAGGTTTATCAGGCCATATTCGATCTTGGTGACAGACAACCATGTAATGATTCCAAAGATACAACCGATGATTGTTCCAAGGATGGCCCCACTTGCATTTGCTCTTCTCCATAGAAGCATGAATGCAATGGGAAGAACTGCTGGACCAATCAAAACTCCCATTGAAAGGTACATCCAACCCAGAGAAACACCAGCTTTGTTTAGGATAACAGCTAACAAACCCATGAAACACCCAAATCCTAGAACTACCCCTCTTGACACTTTAAGGATTTTCTTTCCACTTGCGTTGGGATTTATGTAAGTACGGTAGATATCATATGTACACAAAGAAGACACTGCAATTAGTTCTGATGAACCAGCTGAAGTCACTGCCCTGATCAATATATCAAAATAATCAAAAGTCAAACAGTAGTTAACTCAATTGGTCTAGTCACACATCACATGTTAATCTTTATCATTAGATAAATCCTTCAAGTTGGTATCAAGTTATGTATTGAAGGAGCAAATTGTAACTTACATAAAAAGCATTGTAAGAAGAAGAATAGATCCTCCTTTTCCCATTAAAGCCACTGCCGTAGCAGGCGGAACAAGTCCATGGCCTGCCTCGCTTTCATTTATGGGCAAATCAAGGGCCAAAGCTCCAAGACCCAATGAAGTAGCCAAAGAAAATGGCACAGCAAACCAGACCAATCCTCCCAACAAATAGCCCTTATGAGTTGATGAAGGTCTTGCAGCAATGGCACTCACCCAATATCCCTAGAATCAGCAACATTATCAATTTAAACTTTGTTCATAGATCTAATCAGATTCCAATAGAAGCTAAGGGTTATGCTTACATTATCCACAAAGACAGTGCCAAAGTTGCCAACAATATTTATGATCCCAAAAACCAAACCACCTGAACTCAGCATTGTCAGGTAAGATCCTTTGTAATTGCCATTAACAGGACCACATGATTGGCCATGATGTGACATAGGCTCCTGGCATGGTCTTGATCTGCTTGCAACCTCTAATAAACGGTTGTAAATAACACTTGGGCTACCAAGCTCACTGCTTGCCGTATACACAAGGTACACAAATATGACCAAAACAATATGCACTGAAAGTGAACAATAAACAAATACCCAGTTAATTATCGAAAGGGATCAAAAACAAATCTTAGCTATACCAGATTTACAAAAAAAAGTGTTTGTGTGTAGTTTAAGTGACTAAAATTGAAGTGAACAACCTATGACAGAATGTATATAGCTTGCCAAGAACGTGGCTTTGAGGCCTCCAGCTAGAGTATAGACGATTACTCCAAGTGGTATAAGGAAGCTAGCAGCATAAATGTTCACACCAGTTAATGCATTTACTACTGCAGAACCTCCAAGAAGCAACATGGCCGTTACTATTATGTTGGTCAAGAAGCAGAAGATGAGGAATACAATGTGTGCAGGTGTTCCCCATCTGAAACAAAGAAGATGTTATATCATTTAAACTGACAGAAATCTTGTCATTGATTCAAACCCAATTAACTTACCGAGCTTTGACAATTTCACAAACAGTATGAGCATAAGGAGCCTTTCTTTTAATCTCTATGGCCATGATTCCAAATAATAATACCTGTTCATTGTAATTTCAGCCTAATTTCACTGTCTAATCATATCAAAGATTACAAGTTATGTTTGATGAAGATATAAACTTCATGCCTGTATAGTAGCTCCACTAGCATACCAGAAAGGCCCACTAATTCCATACTCCCAGGCAACGTTAGAACTTTGCAGGATTGTCGCAGCCCATGTCCACTAAATAAAACCATAGTGGTGAAAGGAAATTAAAGATTAGTAATTTCACAATCAAGCACCAATGCTTTCAAAGCCATAGTGGTCTCATACCAGACATCTAAAAATGAAGCAGCACTTTAAATTACTTTGAAATAGTTTTATTATCTCTTGTGGGTCCCATTTTATATATCTGTATTAGTGATTCTTAGTTATCTAATAGTTATATTATGATTTATGAGGTCATGAGTGAATATGTTACCTGAGACACAATTACACTAGCAATCAATCCTGTTTTAACACTTCTTCCTGCAGTATTAAACCATTCAGAAGTGTGGCGGGACCCAACATATCGCTTCTCCAGCCATACCTGATCCACAAGCACGTTTAAACAAAATGATCAATAACTTAATTCTGATGCCTTGGAAGTTAAAGGGTATCTTACTGATAAGAAAACATGGAATTGGAAGAAGAAAAAGCTTCAGTTCATGACCTAACGTACATGACAGAAGAACAAAGAAACTACATAAAGAAAGTGAAACTTGTAATGGTTACTCACCAAGAAAGAGGTGAAGATAGCGAAGAAAGCACCAAAACCAAGAATGACAGAGTATCCAACTCCCTGATTAAGCACAGGTTTGCCTTCAAAGAAACTGCTCTGCCTCACACAGCTGCCTCCATTTTCAGAAACATGATAATATTTTGCAGAGAACTCAAAGGGTGGACACTGTGTTGGGGAAGCCATGAGGGAAGAAGGTGGAGGCACAGGAAGGTACTGTTTTGCCTTAGAAAATTGCAACTGAAGTTTCCCAAGCCTCCATTGCTTGGGGATTACTAAGCAGAGCGGAAATTTAATGGCTTTTCTCTTGGGAATTACAATGGGTTTGAAAAGTCAAAGGTATCTATCGTGGCCAGAGGAATCTTTGGTCTGGATTCAAAGTTCAATCAATCATGGAGTATTTTAAGTCGCAAGTGTTGAAATTTGGACGTTGATATTTTTTTTGTCATAGGAAAGAAGCCAATAAAAAACTGCTCTCTTGATGGTTAATTGAGTTGCCAAAGCATTGTGTTTCACTATTTAAGTATTTTCTTAAGTCACAAAAAAAAAAGCATTTTCTTAATGAAATTATAATTTTTTGTTGGTCAGTTTCTATTCGGGAATGATTGATCTAGATTTTCTGCCCGTATACGCTATTCAATTAAGGCTATTACACAAAGTCTCCAGCTAAGTGATGCAGAATCTCATGTACTATTAACCTGTCAATTATGGCTATTATACAGAATATCCAGCTAAATGAAACAGAATCTCATAAATTTAACCTGGTCATTTAATTTTATAAAATATCTTTTCAGTCCTTTAACACCATTTGTCTCAAATAACTTTTTATGCAAATTATTGTTTTGCTAACATTTAAAATTTTAATGCTAATGTCTTTTGTCATTGACATTATTGGGGTTCTATCACTAAAAAGACACTAAACAAAATTAGAAGACCAGAATAAAATATTATACGAAACTAAAGGACTAATCAATAAAGTACGCTTTTGCTTCGTTTTTTTAATTAATATTTTTTAGGCCAATTTCTTTAATTAATTGAAAAACGCTTTTCAAGGAGTGTTTCCTTTTTTCTTTTTTGGGGGAACTCAAGAGGCGTTTCTGAATCCCCAGGATGCTTTCTCCGGCCGTGGTCTGCCCGTATGGGCTTCGACCCATAATCATGAGAGCCCATCTATGACACAGACAAGCCCATCTCGTATAGTCAACATTGGGCCTAAGACCGCACCGCATCTCATTATCATCTTGGGCTGAATCTCCTTTTAATGCCTTCATTTTTCTGAGCTAAACTAACAAGTTAGTTTAGTTGATAAAGAATCGGCTCATAATCTATAAGATTAGAAGTTTGAATCCCTCTATCAATGTGAATACCTTATTCATAACTGATCTGTAAGTATCTCTATAGACTCAACTAAACTTTTTTTCTTGCCAAAAGAAAAATTCTAAGGTGAAGTTTTATTTCGGTCATTGTAATTTTTTTTTCAAAAAAAAAAAAACAACTTGACGCAGTTTGTTTATAATGCATTGGATTTGACAAAAATGATGACCAAAATTAAAAAAAAATTAATTCTATAAAATAATTTCATGAAAGAATGTTGAATAACTCTTAAACGTGATGTATAGTCTCACCTTTTCGTTGAGAGATGATGATGCTACGAATCTGAAAAATATATACACAGCATCCATATCATATTTCATTTCAATTACCAAAAAAAAGTAAAAATAAAATAAAATAAAAAAAAGGGTATTTGGACGCGTCCGCACAAGTTGCTGGCTGCGTCGCCGCGAAACTCGTGGCTTCCGTGAGCCACACGAAAACCGAACCTTCTTGGTCCCCAAGAAATGCCAACTTTATTTACAGGCCAAAAAACATGCCAACTAATTATTAATATTTATTAATTATTAATTAATAATACCTTTTAAGTTTTAACAAAAACTTGAGCAATTTGTTCCCGATGTACTACCAAATTAGTACACACCTGCATCCGCCGCCAGTCACGAGGTTGGTGTACTACCAAATTAATATTTTTTAATCTTAATATTTAATATATTTTTTAATTGTTCTTAATTATTGATTTTCTCTCTTTTTTATCATATTTTTTCTTATCACATTTTTTCACTCAATTTTTTTTATTTTATTATTACGAGAACATATTTTTAACTATTATTCATGAATTAGTTATCTAAAGTTTAAAATATTAACAGGAAGGAGTAATAATAATCAAAATTAAAATTAAAATTTTTTCCTGCGGAATCCTTCAGTTTTCTTTTTTTGGCCAACGCGTGGCAGTCTTTAATTACAAAAACGGTCAAAGCGACATCGTGATATTGACCAAAGCCACAAAATTATCCCCACAAATCGGGACCAAATCTAATTAATTAGGCGGCTCTCGAAAAATCCAGACGAAATATCAAAGATATTTCCACCCTAGTCACGTTTCAAAATGTTCCAAGCCTCTCATAAACCCCAAGCCCTCCAACTATTCCAGGTCAAAAAAACAAAGGCCTCCAATTATTATTTTATTACTTGGCCAAACAAAATTATTATTATTGTATTACGAAACCGACTCTGTCTATATCGCATATAAATTCCCAACCACACAAAAGCTTTTCCTCACAACTGTGACCCGGCAACATATACTTTTCTTTCTGATTTCTACGTTCTCATTTTTTCTTGGAAAGCAAGACTCTTCACTGGTCCTTCCTTCCGCATCCCGCATTCTAGGATTCATCGGAAAATGATGAGCCGTGGTGTTATTATTACCCGCAGAGTCGGCGTCGCGGCGGGCTCACGTTTCTTCTCTACTACTGGTTCAACCGCTCGTGCTGTGGCCAGTGAGGCGGTGTTGAGTAATGCAGCCAAGGGGTTTGGTGATCAGGTTGGGGCAAATGTTGCGAATCGGGGTTACTGGCTAAGGGTTCCGGTGATCAACGGTGGCCGGGTGCGCTATTCGAGCACTTTGTCGGTGGAAGAGAAAGAGAAGCAGGATCTCTCGGGTACTGCTTCAAGCGGCAGCAGTGTGGGGGGGAACAAAGACGAGAAGGGGGTGAGTTATTGGGGTATTGAAAGCTCGAAGATCACGAAGCCAGACGGTACGGAATGGAAGTGGAATTGTTTTAGGGTATGCATTTCATTTATTGTGTTTTCTCCTTCAACGTTTTCGTTATCGATTGATTTGGATGGGGTTACTGATAATTTGTGCGTGATGGCTTTGATTCGAAGCCATGGGAGACGTACAAAGCGGACTTATCGATTGATCTGAAGAAGCACCATGCGCCGGAGACTTTTATGGACAAGATGGCTTATTGGACCGTCAAGGCTCTCAGATGGCCCACTGATATATTCTTCCAGGTATGCACAGTATCTCTTCTGAAATTATCTAAACTAGCACTGTTTTCTCTCCATTAGCCTGCTTTTTATTCATACATCGAATGGCTTATAGAAGATAATTTTCTGCAAAATTTTCTGGTCTTTTTTTACTTGTCTGGAATCATGGGCTTGCGAATTCGGTTTGGTTTGCCAGCTTGTCATTTGTGGCAGGATGCACAGAATTTGGATCTAGAATGACCTAATATTGCACATGACGGTGTGGAGTATTAGATGACAGAAAAATTCTATTCAATTATCTCCAATAATTTTTTCGAAAAAACTATCCACAATAATTGGGCTGAGGCCTGGGACGATGGAGTTTACCTTTTGAAGAATATTCTTTCCCTTTAAAATCACTAGATAAATATTTTTTAAAATAAAATTAAAATCAAAATTACATTGGGACACTCGTGTCATGTAATTCTAATTTAATTATATATATTGTATGGTTATTAGTAAGTGATGATTTTTATCAGGTCGATTGATTTGAATTGGATAAACTGATGGCTTACAGGAATTGAAATGGTTTGAATGTGATAAATTGATGGCTTACAGCTTACTGGGCTGTATGTGATTGTGATTATACTTATATGTCAAGTTGAGCCAAACGTTGGACAATAGCCCAGTAAGTTTCTTTGAGGTAATGGGGTATTATCCAACAGCCCAAACTCTTGGAATAAGATATCGGTCGGGGAAAAAAAAAAAACTAACGGACGTCTTCACACAAATTCGAGAGAACGCCCGAAATAAAAGGGGGGGGAAAACTGGTCAAAAGATGGGAAAAATCATTGGTTGAAATAAACATGATGAGAAAATTTGGCACAAGAGAAGAACACTTGTAATCCAGTATTCGTTGGTTAAAATTTTATTTTCTCGCCAGATTCTATAGTGGGTTCTCTTGCTAATATATCTTATTGGAAGAAAACCTTAGGATTATCATTTTCTGTTGTTATAATTGCTATACAACGCTAAAGATTCTGATCTCATGTACGGACCTAAATGTATAGGTGCAACGAAATTTGGGAACTTAGTTTATATGCATTCTCTTTTGTCTTACATGGTGTGTACGCAAATGACACAGAGACGGTATGGATGCCGAGCAATGATGCTTGAGACAGTGGCGGCTGTACCGGGCATGGTAGGAGGGATGCTCCTGCACTGCAAGTCGCTGAGACGGTTCGAGCACAGTGGTGGCTGGATCAAGGCACTGTTAGAGGAAGCAGAGAACGAGCGTATGCACTTAATGACGTTCATGGAGGTGTCAAAGCCCAGGTGGTACGAGCGAGCCCTGGTCATAGCCGTCCAAGGTGTGTTCTTCAACGCCTACTTCTTGGGGTATTTGATGTCCCCTAAGTTCGCACATCGCATGGTGGGATACCTGGAGGAGGAGGCCATTCACTCCTACACTGAGTTCCTCAAGGAATTGGACAAGGGCAATATAGAGAATGTTCCAGCCCCAGCCATTGCCATCGACTATTGGCAACTTCCGCCTGACGCCACTTTGAGAGATGTCGTCATGGTCGTTAGAGCTGATGAAGCCCACCACCGTGATGTCAACCACTTCGCATCGGTGAGTTTTTCCTCCCTGAATTATTTGAGTTGTTTGTGACTGTTGACGATGTGCGGTACACTTCGTGATGGGCTAATCAATCTGAAGGAATGGCTCAAGTGTTATGTGTGGTATTTTTTTGCTAGTATTTTTTGAGCCTTGGAGTGGATGGTTCATGTTTAACTGAAGAGCTGGTTAGGACACCGTCATGAGATCATAATATTGATGATGTTTGTGGGTGATAAAATTGCAGGACATACATTATCAAGGACGAGAACTGAGGGAAGCGCCGGCTCCTATTGGATATCACTAGAACCTGACTGAAATTTGGCCCCCCTGAGAACGGAAAAGCTGGTCATTTTTTTTGTTTGTGGTATGAATAAAATACTACTGTTGCACGTGACATTTGATGGTGCTGTGATGATGTAGATTGGCGAGGGTAATGTAAATATAGAGCACCCGTTATGATAACAATCTGTGTTGGCGGAAAAAGAAATCCAAAATGTGATAGCTTTATAGAAGATGGGCAAGTATATTTTGACCGTTCTTTTGTCCCGTCATTCTATGTCACTGGGCTTTCTTCTCCCCGGCAATCCCCGTTCTTCGCTTGCGTTTGCACACAAATCCTTCAAGCTAATTCAAACTTTTAACTCATTCAAAAAGTCGATGACGCAATGCAGCCGCTCTCGAAAGACAACTTGTAGTTCTGTTTTGTTTTCGATCTGTTCCTCGCTAAATAAATAAGGGCTCAGTTGCATAATATCAGGGAAATAGCACGAGGACGTGTTGGGTGGGATGAAGGTGTGGCTTGGACATAAATACGAAGCTACCAGAGAGGAGGCATTTGTCAAATATGCGCCATGTGATTCCACCAAGGTTTTGGAATGATTCTAGAGCTGGTTTGGAATTACCTCTTCACATCCTAAAAATATACAAGTTAAGATATAACTCTTTTTACATATTTATATCTTATTTAGTAAATTATAATTGAAAAGTTATTTTTAAAAGATCTTATTACCATTTTCAACAAGCATGCCGAATGTCACTTGCAATTTTGCATTGCTGCAAAGAGTTTAAATTTCCTTCTCTGCATCTCAATAGCTTCCTCCGTTTAAGCGTTCACACCACCTTCCATTTCGAATGAAGCAACATTGTCTTTCTATATGACTCTTCATCTCTGTTTCAAACACTCTTTCGGGATACCCAAATTCAAATTGCTATTTGTACGTTCTACACTGCTTCTGCGTATATGACGAGTTAGTTATAACAGTTCATGTTTTTTTCCCCCTATACAATAAAGCATTTACTTATATACTACCTTCCGTTCTTAGTATAAGAGTTTGTTTAATTTTTAATTTGATCTTAAATATAAGATTGAAATTCACTTTATTTATTTAGTTACACATGTTAAAGTTTCTATTAAATAATAGTTTTAACTAATACACATGATTAATAAGAGTATTTTAGAAAAAAATAACACATATTTATTATAAATAATTAATTTAACTAATTTTTTTAATCGTCTCAAATTAATCAATTAGATTTTATATTAACAATAGAAGGTGATATATTTTTAATAAAATATCTTTTGCACTTATGAAGCCCATGTGGAATGAATGTCTTCCTTCCATGCAAATAAAACGGATCTCGTAATTTTGTTACTCTTTATCAAATCCCCTGCCTCAATTTGGTCCCCGTGTTTTGTGTATTTTTTTCCCTCAACTTAAGGCAATTTGATCATATTAAATTCGACAAAGCCTTATGATCAAACCAATAAACAGAACCTCAGTTGGCGTTTTTTTTTTTTTTTGAAAAAAAAAACTATTTGTTTACGTAAGTGATGACACCATGAATCTGAGAAGAATTATTATTTCAATAACAACAAAAATCGGGGCTTTATCGTAATATTTTATTAACCCATTCATTGAACATTAGCGCCCGCCCACGGGATCTGCAGAGCGGTTAAATCAAGCGGGTTACGTGGCCTACTCAAAAACCCGGCCTTCTTGCTCCCAAAGAAATGGCAACTTGCTCATAAGCCTAGAGGGATGCCAACTTATTAATAATTTAGAATATTACATTAGTTTTGATAGACAATACCAATTTGTTATAAATGTCTTAATTAAGTCATAAATATACAGCGATTAATCACAGAAGTAGCCCCATTTAAGTCATAAATTTAGTGCGGATCTATTTCAAATATAATTGTTCCCTGAAAAAAAGAAAAGGAAAAAAAAAAAACTATATTTAAGCCAAGAGTATTCTTTTCTGTATTTGAATAGCATCGCCTGTACCCAGACTATGTAGTGGCCATCGTTTTCCCAAGAAAGAGCCCAAACCTCTGATACAAGGCCATAAACTTATCCCAAAAATTTTGGATTAAGTTGAAAGGCTTCCGGTTCTCTTGGGTAAACATGATGATAGGCATCCTTTTGTCAGATGTTATTTTGTGCAAGACATGTCAAACACTAAATATAGACACAATTCTTAACGAGAATTCGAATCTTGCATGAAAATCAAGTTGTGTAATATGTTCTCTGTAACAATCATTTCTATTTTATTACCTCCGGTCTTTAATATAAGACTATATTTGACTTTTTGTTTGGTCCTAATTATAAGACCCCAATCCATTTTGTCTATCATATTTATGTATTTTTTTTTCAAAATAGTCCTTCCAATAATGATAGTTTAAGCCAATACACTTAATTAGCAAAGATATTTTAGGAATGACAATACTTATTTATTACAAATAACTAACTTAACTTACTTCCTTAATCTCTTCAAATTAGTCAATTAGGTCTTATAATTAGGACCGGAGGTAATATTATCATTATAATTCTATATTTTTTTTTAATTTAAAAAACGAATGATATTTTACATTTAGCGTGTTCCTTTTTCAATTTCATTTTATTACACTTCAGTTTACAAACCAAACAAGGTCAGAGTGGTCAATCTGCGTCAATAATCATATTATCAAGTGAATCAAACCAATTGAATTTGGATATGCAAAGATGATATCCATTGGATATATTTCTCGTTTGGGACATTATTATGAGATTAAAAACTAGAATAATATTCATGTCATAAATAATAACTCACACTGTGGTAATAATTACTTTAATTTTAGTAGAATTAAAATACTAAAATTTGAATGGTCAAAATTGGCATAAAATATGAAACAACCTCAATTGAAGGGCAAAGGTGGGTTCCCACAAGCATCAAAGATATTTTCACTAAAAAATTCTTTTACAAAATACTCTCTTAAATCAAATTAAACCCAACCCTTGAAATAAATAATAATTTTAAGACGAAGTCGGTTATAAAATCCAACAACGTGAGCCCGCCACGACTGTAACCAAACAGCTAGTAACCTTTCTTTCTGCTCTCTCTTCGTACCATATTTTCTCGGCGGGAAGACGAGCTCTCTCTAAGGGTCCTTCCGCATCCCACATCCTTGGATTCCTTCTCAAATGATAAGTCGTGGTGTTATTATTACCGGCAGAGTCGCCGTCGCGGCGGGCTCACGGTTCTTCTCCACCACTGGTACAACCGCTCGTGCTCTGGGCAGCGAGGCGGTGCTGAGTAATGTAGCCAAGGGTTTTGGTGATCCAGTTTGGGCAAGTCGAGCGAATCTCAGCTACTGGCTTAGGGTTCCACTGATTAACGGTGGAAGTGTGCGGAATTGGAGCACTATATCTGTGGAACAGAAAGAGAAGCAGGATGCGTCGGTTTCTGCTTCAACCGATAGCCGTGTGGGCAGGCAAAATGACGGGAAGGGAGCGGTGAGTTATTGGGGTGTTGAACCGGCGAAGATCACAAAATCGGATGGTACAGAATGGAGGTGGAATTGCTTTAGGGTATGTAATGAGCATTTCATTTCTTTGGATTTCAATTGCGGGACTTTCATAATTGATCGATTTGGATGGAATAATTATTGATGAATTTGTTTGTGTTTGATGGTTTTGATTTGAGGAAGCCGTGGGAGACGTACCAAGCCAACCTGTCGATTGATCTGAATAAGCACCATGCGCCGGCGACATATTTGGACAAGATGGCTTATTGGACTGTAAAGGTTCTCCGATGGCCCACTGATATATTCTTCCAGGTATCTATCTAATCCCATCACACAAACAGTTTCCTTTCCCGATCTTTTTTATATGCCTTGAATACTGGTCATGCATATTGTTCATGATTTTCTCTCCTTCTGAATGTTGGTCATGCATATTGGGTTTTTGGTTTTTGGCAGGGTGATCCGTTTATAAAATTTGGATCCAGTTTAGCGTAATATGGCACATGATGACTCTGTAGAGGTAGTGGATGACTGAGAATTCCAACTTTCTGATTCGTTTTTTTTTTTTGGCCAAAAAGTCTAACTTTCTTTTTATAGAAGGAAAATTCTGTTCAATTAATCAGGAATTATTGGTTTGACGCGATCGAGTGTAGCCGTTCAAGAACCAAAAAAATAAAATCATTAATTTTTCATAAAAGATGGAATATCTTTTCAGTCCAAATGCTAGGATCATTACAAGAGGGGGAAAAACTGAATTCTAAAACATGAAAATAAATATTTTTGACAATAAAATTCAAATCAAAAGCAATTTAGCATGACTTATTGACTTGCAATTTAATCCAGTAACAAAAAAAACATATAAAAATAATTTTTATCATATAATCAATACATATTAAATAAAAAAAATAAGCTTAGTTTCTGTGTGATAGGATCCTAAACAAGTGGTGAAAGGTTGGAATCATAATTTTGGGAATGAAGTAAATCGCGTTGTCATGGGTAGCCTACAGAGTATTAGTTCTAGTGTCCTAAAAAAAAAAAAAAAGAAGTAATTTATCGATTAAAATAAAATAACCGTGGCAGAACTAAGAAGCTGTAAGGGAATAGTTAAAAATCTTATTTAAATGTTTATAAGATTAATATTATAAAAATTTATTTCAACGTAAAAATAAATATAAGGTGAGAATATTATTGCATTCAAATTTATTTATAATATTAAGGTCTTATTCATTAGTTCCTACTGTAATAAAATTCCTCCATGATCTCCATTATAATAAAATTTCTAATCTTGCTATTAATATATAGAATAAGACTTATTGTGAAAAAATCATTTATTATTTACTATACAAATAAGTTTATAACGAGTAAAGAACATGATTAAATTTTATCCAAAAAAAATGATTAAATAAATTATAAAGAGAAAGGATTTTGTGGAACAGAGAAAATAAAAAGAAAATAAAGTGGAGGGTTTTAATTCGTAACTACTGCACTGTATTCTATCTTTATCACTTGAACTGGTTTGCTATGTCATTAGTTATAATTAAAAATGAAATTAAAATTTTTCTTGAAAAGTCTTTAATTTGGTTTATTATACTTTATATGCCATCAAATTTATTTATTATGATTAGTCCAGATAAAGAAAAGGGAAAAGAAGTTGCTGATCCAAACAAAACCATAGCCACTTGAGAATGAGTGGCCTTACCTGGACTAGAGCCTTGGATATCAGACTATGTTAGCTTGGACCGTTTCAGCTAACACCCCCGACTTTAAAACTACTGCACTTGCACTGCATTCTATCTTCAAAGAACAATTTTTTTTTTGGGGGGGGGGGACTTTTTGGACGGGAGGGATTAAAAATTTGAAGTTAAAAGAATGTTAATTACACTAATTAATGATATGCGGGTAAAACCATGGAGAGGCAGCTGCCTCGAGTCCATTTACATTTGTTTCCGTCCCTGCTTAATAAGTAGGAGTATATTTACTTGTAAATTGAGGTGGCACATGATTTCATTGCTTGCCATTCTCTCTGCTCCGCCTGTATGGCCGTCTGTGAACTTGGACACATCTTACGTCCATTTGTAGTGGTTATGTTGGAAATAAACATGGTAAGAAAATTGGCACCATGGTTTTTTTGTTGAGTTTCTCATCGGATTCAATCTATGCTATATCATTTTCTCATGTTGATGTTACCCGGCAAAGCTAAAGATTCTTGCTTCAAGCTTGCGGATCCAAATTCTACAGCGTATCCCACACAATTTGGCAACTTTATCTATATGCGTTCTATGTTTGAAAGTTGTCTGTCTTATGCATGGTGTGCACACTAATGTAACAGAGACGGTATGGTTGCCGAGCAATGATGCTGGAAACAGTGGCGGCTGTACCGGGCATGGTAGCAGGGATGGTGCTGCACTTGAAATCGCTGAGACGGTTCGAGCACAGTGGGGGCTGGATCAAGGCACTGTTAGAAGAAGCAGAGAACGAGAGGATGCATTTAATGACGTTCATGGAGGTATCAAAGCCCAGGTGGTACGAGCGAGCTCTGGTCATAGCCGTCCAAGGCGTGTTCCTCAATGCTTACTTCTTGGGCTATTTGCTGTCCCCTAAATTCGCACACCGCATGGTGGGGTACCTGGAGGAGGAGGCCATTCACTCCTACACTGAATTCCTCAAGGAATTGGATAAGGGAACTATTGAGAATGTTCCGGCCCCGGCCATTGCCATCGACTATTGGCAGCTTCCACCTGGCTCCACTTTGAGAGATGTCGTCATGGTCGTTAGAGCCGATGAAGCCCACCACCGTGATGTCAACCACTTTGCATCGGTAAGTTTTTCCTCTATTAATTATTTAAGATGTTTGTGATCGGTGCACTAAGATATTTGTAAGATGCATAATACAGATACCTGCGCTAAATTAGGTTGGTCAATTTTGTTGGGAATGTGCTAACCTTGGAGTGAGTAGTTTTCCCCTTTGATTGGATAGCCGGTTCGAGTGTCCGGAATAAATTTGAATTTTGGTTTTGTATTGTGGTAAGATAGTACTGATGGTGTTTCCCTGTAATGAATTGCAGGACATACATTATCAAGGGCGAGAGCTGAGGGACGCTGCAGCTCCGATTGATTACCACTAGAAGTTGAGATTTTGGCCATCGGGGCACGAAAAATGTTGGTCTTTAGTTGTGAAGTTGTTTTGGGTATGAATAAAACACTGTTGCCAGTTGAAATGGCTGTGCTCTACTCTGACAATATGTATAGAATACTGGCAACTTTAATGTAAATACTAATAATGTGCCCCCATCATGTTAACAATCGTTCACATTTGGGGTTGTACTGTAAGAAGACTGCGTGGTGAATCCTACTTGATAAAGTTTGTTGTCCTAATCATTTTGTTGTGATGTATTCTTCTGTTCGTTGATTTGGATTCTGTATGTCATAAAGACAGGGACTGCCATTTTTAATTCATGAGTAAGATGGGGATTTTAGCATTTTGGAGATCTATAGATCTGCGATAATGGTCCAAAGTGCTGAGATTCCCTTGAGAACAGAGGATATCTGATGATTCTACTGAAGCGAGCAAGTTAAGCTTTCTTCAGAAGTTTCATGGAGGTTGTAAAGTTTGTAATCGGATCGCTATTAGCCTTACTCATGAGAAAAGAAGACTCGTTAATTTCTTCATAACTGATTAGAGAGCAGCTTGTTTTTCTTTTGATAGGCCGAGAAGAAGGCAGACGAATGAAGATAAAAAAGTTGAGGTGGACGAGAACCTGATGCTCACTGATTTGTTGGTTTGCTCTTGGCTCGCTTGTGTATGTTTTCTTTCCCTGTAAAAAGCGGTTTATTCCGTCACTTTATTCTATTCCTTGGGAGTTGTGAGCACAACCTGCTTTATAGTTTATTGTTGTCAATCAGAAATCAGAACTAGACAATGAAAATATGGTGACCCTTGAGGCTGAAAAAGAAATATATAGTGACCCACCTTTTATAAGAACTAGGAAGCAGTTAGGAGGAGGAAAGAGAGTTGTTTTTTTGGATGCACCAAAGAGGGCACGCGATCCACCATATATTGTTGATTAATCCTCTAGGCATCATGTGATTAGTGGTTATAAAATGGAAAAATGAAGCATTTAGACCCTAAAATTAATGTGGAAAATTAGGAAAACAAGTTCTTCATTAAAAATTTAATCAAGTTCTTCTCACTAATTTTTCATCCATCACACTTTCTACTAATTAATTAATATCTACTTGATCTCAATTAAATTTTTACACCAAATTACTTAATTATAATTATGATTGCTACATACTGAGATAAGACGAGAATGAAATATCCACCGTCAGACACAATACTCGAAAAAAACAAACAGAAGAGGAAAAAAACACAGTTCAGAAAGCTCTCGGGTGGTCCAAATCAATTATGGTAATTAATAGCTTTTTTAGCATGAGTTATTTTTTAAAACAAAAGCTTAAACTTGAGGTTTTACTATCAACTTTATTTTACTCAATTGAATTATCATTAATATTATGGCTGGAAACTATTTCTTCTTTCTTTAGTATGTACCAATTAATAGAGAGAATTCGGAAAAAAAATTATAAATTAGAAGATATAATGAATTAAGATTTTATATTTATGATCAAAACAAGCTTTTCAAGTAATTTATATATTTAGAATAAAAGTACTAAAAGGATCAAAATATTGATAATGACACAAAAAATATAAAGATGAAATCAAAGCATGGTCAAAAATTATCAAGTTGTTTATATCTATTAAGTTAAATTTGTAGGTAAATTTATAAGTACACATGTATTTTAAGAGCTAACAACAGAAAAATAATAAGTTTTCATATAAAAATTTACACATCCTAATTTTAACAACTAATAATAATAATAAAATAAAAAATTTATAAACACTAATTTACATTATAAAAAATGAAAAAAATTTACAAATATTCGTAAATGAAAAAAGGAGTATTTGGGTAAGATCAAAATCATAATTTATGAGGTAAATATATGAAAAAAATTTAATTTATAAAAAAATACTTCTAAAAAGTGATTATTGAGATATCTAAATATTTTTAAAGCTCCGGTAAGCCTCAATAACGTTATACACATGTATTCTGCACATTCCCTACGAACCACGGTTTTCCTCACTCCTAACACGCTTTCTTCCCATGTCTGTTTAAGTGGACCCACTGGCCGAAAAGACAAAAAGGACCCACAACAAGCACACTCACGATCCCTGCCAGGCCTTTATATCGTGATGACAATATAGGCACCGGGAATTAAAGTTAAGTCCCAAAAAATAAATTTGTTGAGTAATTTATAACGATAAATTTTAAAATAAATAATGATAACTTTTTGTTTTTCATTAAAACTTTTTAAAGTTATCTTTTTTTTACAGGATTTTATTAGAATTTTCTTAAATATATAGTAAGTAAAAAAATATTTTTTTTAAAGAAGAATTAAAAAATCAAAACTTTTGGAAAAGGAGACGTACATATTACGTCAAATGTAGGACTTGGAATTGCTTATTGGCAAAAAAAAAAAAAAAAGACGTGGAATTGCTTAGGGAGAAACAGCCCAAATTACGTGGATGAAAAATGAAATAAAGCTTCACTCGGAAAAAAAGAAAAATGAAATAAAGCATGTTAAAAGAAAACATCTTTTTACTCCCCTACTCTCCTACCTATAAAACAGTTCTATGTGAAAGCTTGGCTATTCAAAACTCTAATGCATAAAGTGTCGGAGAAGTCAAATCAATAGCATTCATGAGTCATTTGACTTTTTTCTTAAATTAAGAAGAGGAAGAGTGTGGCCGGCCTGATTTACTTAAAACAAAAAAAAAAAAAGAGGAAAATGATGAAAGTTTGAAACTAGATGCTGGTCGAAAAAAAAACTAAAAAAGTATTTAGATGGAAACTAAATTATAATTTTAAAAATATTTTTACAATATACAAGATAAATATGTGGAGGAATTTGTCTCGTTTTGTAGAAAAGTGCTTCTGAGAAGCATTTTTGGATGCTTCCAAACACCCCCTTAAATGAGTAGATACTAATGCTAATACTACCTCCAGTTCTTAATATAAAATCTTATTTTACTTTTATTTTGGTCGTAAATATAAGACCGCAATTCACTTTGTCTCTCATATTTATACATTCTTTTGCAAGGTAGTCTTTTTAACAATGGTAGTTCTAGGAAATATACTTGATTAGCAAGGATATTTTAGGAAAGACAACACTAATTTATTATAAATAACTAGCTTAACTTATTTCTTTAATCTCCTCAAATAAGTCAACTAATTCTTATAATTAGGATCAGAGGTAGTAATAAGTAGGGAAAATGACACAAAATGATATTTAAATTTGAAAATGTCAAAATAGTCACTTGAATTTATAAAATTTCAATTTAGTCACAAGTGACCAATTTGACATCTATAAATTTACTAAAATGACCATATTATCTTTTACTTTATTTATTGTTTTTTAAAAAGCCAAATACTCCCATTGGCAACAATTTTTTTAAAAGATTTTTATAACTTTAGTAAAACAGTTAACAAGTTTTATAACATTATTAACAAGTTTAGTATAGTAATTAACAACAAGTTTTTCAGAAAATTAAAAAAGTAGTATTTTTACAACTTCAATAATACCGTTAACAAGTTTTATAATTCTATTAACAAGTTTAGTATAATATTTAACAAGAAGTTTCCTGAAAAATTAAAAAAGTGGCATTTTAAAATCTAACTGACGACGGCCATTAGAGCTCCGACGACCATCGCCAGCACCAAAGCTTCGGCATCCGGCCAGCCAGTATAGGCATTTGGATTTTTTAAAAACTAAATAAAATAAAGGGTAATAAGATCATTTCAACAAATTTATAAATATCAAATTGGTCACTTGTGACGAAAATGGGATTTTGCATATTCAAGTAGCTATTTTGGTATTTTCAGGTTCAAGTGTTTTTTTTTTATCATTTTTCCTAATAAGTGTCATGACTGGTAAAATCTATATTATTTAAGTATAGTTTTAACGGTTCAAATTTAAAATTTTCAATTTATGATTTTTAAATAAAAAATTATTTTTGGAAAATTTTACAATTAAAAAATTACATTTATTTTGAATTATATATTTATTAAAAAATTCAAAAAAAAAATTGAAAATTTAAACCTTGGTCATTCATAAATTTATACAGTTAAGATTTGATGGGTATCATGATATTTATCACTGCGATGAGCACTAACACTGGTTTCTGAAATTTTAAACTGCTCATAATAATCATGGGTGTCATTTTTACTTTGTTCCTTGTTTTTTTTTAATTTTTATTTGGGTTATACTCAAGTATTGACCACTTCAATTGAGGGAGAATCCCTCGGAAGTAAACTTGAAATTACTAAATCCCAGATTAAATTACAACAATTTAATAAGTTTTGATAATAATAAATTTGTAAATAATAACACATTTTTTGTAAGAATTTTTTATTTAAAATTTAGTAATTTTAAACTTATTTTCCCTTCAATTTAAATAATTTTCTTAAAAATATTTTCTACATTCATAGTTCGAACTTAAAACATTATGCTTTTGACTTTTCTTTCTAATAATTATTTAGTATCTTATTTAATCATATAATCTTTTTTTCACTTTTCTATTCGTAAAAATATTAATGTGAATTTGGTTAAAAAAGGCACTTACAAAACCATTTATAAATTATTAATCAATAAAATTCCTTATATTATGCTGCGTTGCTGCTGAATTGCAGGTTATTGCGTGCTAAATCCTCCTCATCACCATGCTCATGCTTTAATAACCTGGCATTATTTTTACTAGAAGGTTCCAAAAATGGTACCTCCATAAGTTTGTGAAATTTCAACAGGTTTCGATGACAGAGTCTCATGAGTGTTTGGATAGAAACTAAACCATGGTTTCAGAAGTGTTTTTACGGATTACGAAGTAAATATGTGGAGGAAATTACCTCGTTTTGCAGAAAAGTGCTTCTGAAACTATGGTTTTGGGGCACCCAAACAAGCCCGAAATCAGAAAGTCAATAACAGAGCACACCGGAATCCACAAAATAATTAACAAGTGCAGGAGATCTAAATATGATAGGAGGAAAGCAGGAACTGAATGGAGGCTGCGACGAGTTAAGAAAAGGGAAGTAATACGGGGATGGAGAGAGAGAAGGATTTCCTTGAGTGGAAACTTTAAGGGGACTGAATTTCCTTTGGTTGATCAGAGATGACCATTTAAGATGAGTAACTATCAACGTAAATTTTTAATTCAAAAAACTTTCACGTAATCAATGTTTTTGAATGAAAACTTTCAAAGTAAATTTCTAGCTTAATCCCTTTTTACCTCTTGGTCCCTCTTATAAGTTATTCTTAACTAATTTATACATACCAATAAAAATAATTAAAAGCATTTAATTTGTCATAAAAGTTAATTGGTTTTCAATATTATCCTTATTAACAACACTAAACTCCTACAGCATCAACTTTATTCTTTTAGACTACCCTAATTAAATATGGGTATATATATATAAAAAAATATTTGATGCTCTTTGAAACTTTAGGGAGTGTTTGGATAAAACCAAACCATGGTTTGGAGAATAGCTTCTGGAGAATAGATTCTGAGGAGAATAGATTTTGTGAAGAATAGATTTTGTGAAAAAGTGATTCTGAGAAGTGAGAGTGTTTAGATAGTTATTACCAGAAGTACTTTTTATATGTGCAAATTACTAAAAAGGGTATAAGTTAATATGATAATTACATAAAATATAGATTTTATAATATATTTTAATTTGAAGGAACAAAATTGTTAATAATATATTTTTTTACCAACATAATTAATAAATAATTAACATGTGTATATATATATTTATAAAATATAAGATTAAAAATGTTTCTGGAAAAAATAAATATTTTTTACCAACAGAAAAATATTATTTTATTTTAAAGATTATAAATATGAAATATCATGATATTTTTTGACAAAATAAATAAGCACACATTAAAACAATTTATTACTTATTATAGCAATTATCTTTTCCGCTTTATGATTCTTTCAGGCTCACTCTCTTGCTGCGTCAGGACCAAATGACCGTAAACCATTTCTCCACGACTCCACGCCAACAACACAAGCGAGTCAAGGGGCATTTTTTGTCCAAATAATTTCTGACAACCCAACAGCGAAAGCTTCAACACCAGAAGCAAGATAATTTTGCTTTCCACAGAACCAAGGTTTTAGAGGTTAAAACCATGGTTTCAGATGAAACCATGGTTTCACAATATTGAAGGCTGTTTGGGTAGCATTTTCCCCAAACCATGGTTTGGGGTGCTACCCAAACAGACCCTAAGTAAATGCTTTGTAAAATGGATAACAAAACTCTTATAGTTGATACCTTATAATAAGCAGCAGAGGAGTGATAAACTAATTCGCATAAATTGGAAAAAAATTGAGTAAGTTAGTTATTTATTTGTAAAATATATTTGTTGTCTTGAAATACGCCTTCCTTTGATCATTTGTATTAGAATGTAATAGCCATAATTTATAAAATATACATGAATCTAATTATAAATTCAATGTTTTTTTTTTGTTTACACATACCCATTACCCTTTTCCATTGGAGGGACTTTCTACGTACACTCAGAATTGAAAGAAAAACTTCCCTAAAGTTGGAGGCATAATATCCTATCAAGCTTGAGGAGTTTTGGCAATTATAAAGTTAATTTAGTGAAATGAATATGGAGACTAAAAGAATTTCAAATCTATATTTAAAATCAAAACAAAGTTTTTGTAACTAACCTCTATATTTAGGATAAAAGAAATTACGGAACTTATGAGCATGATAACTTTGAAAGCTAAAAAAAAAAAAAAAAAAAAGCCCAACGTGCTAAAGTTGCTCATGCTCAAGCTTGGGATCCATGCTCTTTAAATCCACTTTTAAGTACTCTCTCCGTCCCTTATTATAAGAGACATTTAATGCTTATGGCATGTTTCTATATATAAGAGACACTTAAAAGTTGTCTCTACTTTTTTATGTTGATTTCCTATTTTACCCATATTTATTGTCTCCAACTCACACTCTCTCTCCTTCCCACTTCTCTTTCTTTTAATAATTTAATTGTTCTCTCTCATGCTCTCTCTCCTTATTAATGAGGGTATTTTTGGAAAAAAGATTATACTTTTTACACATTGATTGTTCTTAACTAATTTTAACTGTTTTTTTATCAACGTAATTCGGTTATTCGTTTCTTATAATAAGGAACGGAGGGAGTATTTGGTATCCTTTCAAATAAAATAAAAATCACTTTTTTACAAGTGTTAATTCGAACAAACCTTAACCCTCAGTAGATCCTTCATTTATTTCCTGCAATACAAATCAAGGCGGGGGTTGGTATTTATTAGGGGTAAGTCCTCCTTGACGAACGCCATAGATTGTCCCTTCCAAACCAAATCTCTTGAATAGTTTGAAATCCTAACTCTAGTCAACCCCTGTTTATGTTTCCCCGAGTTTTGTGTCAGAAGCAGAAAAAAATCTCAGAAAGTGAAACATTCTTCCCACTTGAACCCTTCAAGCTCCAGCCTGTGCTCATGCGTTGCGTGAGCGAAACTCACAAAATTTGACTTCATTATCCAAAAAAGTAGTCCCCTATTTAATACCATTCCAGGACCACAATCTTTCATTCAAAGAAGTTGATAAACCAAACGGCTCCCCCCCCCCCTTCCCCCTCCCCCTCTCTCAGAGGTCCCTATCCCAGCATCTTCCTCTGCAACTCCATATATCTTACTTCTGACTCACTCCTCCTTCTTTTTGTCTGTTTATTATATGTGTCTGTTCGTATTCCTATGAATCAAACAAACCTTTTTTATGGTTTTATTATATTCTGAAACCGACTTTTCTTAGCAGCTTTCGTCTCGGCCAATCAAATGTTTCCCTCAGAGAGTAAGTATACCTGAACCCACCCCCCCACGCAAATTTGAAACTTATCTCTAAAGCTAGCTTTCATGTTTGAACTTGAAAGTTACTGGAGAAGCTGCAGAATTTTTCATCATGGCCAACACTTCGAGTTCTCTGATCGGCCAGAAGAAGAAGAAGCAGCAGCAGCTGATGCAGCATCTTCAACCTCTGATCCCAGGTCTTCCTGAACCAGTGGCCCAAATCTGCCTGGCTCTAGTCGGAGATCCTTTTCTTTTGTTCTCCGTTTGCCACTCATGGCGTCGCCTTCTTTACTCGCCTTCCTTTCCTCCTTTTCTCTCTCTCTATGCCTTTCTGTCGTCTTCAAACCCAACCCCACTATCATCATCACAGTCCACCAAGTTACCTTCAACTTCAGTTCAGATCCTCACCTTTGATCCAATCTCTTCCACGTGGCAGCGTCTTCCTCCCCCACCGCCGGACCCACCGCTTCAACTACTCCTTCGGCACCACCCATCCTTCCTCTCTCGGAACCTTCCAATACAGTCAATCTCCGTAGCCGGAAAACTCATCCTCCTCGCCGCTTCTACCTATGACCTCCACCCCGCACTGTCTCGCCCACTGATTTTCGACCCCATTTCTCAAAATTGGAGCTTTGGCCCAACTCTCCCCAATCCTCGCCGGTGGTGTGCCCTCGGAGCGTCAAACGGCTCCGTCTACATAGCCAGCGGGATTGGCACCAAGTTCTCCCCTCACGTGGCTCGGTCCATGGAGAAATGGGATTTCACAAGAAACCCGAATAATGGTAAGTGGGAGAAGAAGAGAGATCTGAAACATGGGAGGTTTAGCAGAGATGCCATTGATGCCGTGGGATGGAGAGGGAAGCTGTGCATGGTGAATGTGAAAGGTGACGCTGCGGCCAAGGAAGGGCTGTTCGAGAGGGACGGCAGGAGATGCCGAAAGGGATGGAGGAGAGGGCCGGTGGGAGCTATGTCGGAGACGGTAATGTACGGCGTCGATGACGCCGACGGTGCGCTGAGGAAGTATGACGAACAAAAGGATGACTGGGAGGAAATTGTGAAATCTGAGAGGCTGAGAGGGGCGGAGCAAGTGGTTGCTGAAGGACGCAGAGTTTGTGTCGTTGCCGGTGGTGGGATTTCTGTGGTGGACGTGACAGCCACTCCGGCGAGGATCTGGGTAGTGGAGTTGCCGGCGGGACTTGAAGCTGTGGCGGTTCATGTTCTGCCAAGAATGCCGGCACCTCATACATAGCCTGCTCAAAGATTGATTGAAAAGGATTTTTGTTTTTTTCCCTCCATTTGATCTCCTTCGGGTTTATAAGCGTTTGTGGGGTTGTTGGGAGCTGAAAGTGAAAATTTGTCAATTAGTGAAAAAAGGTCAGAGCATTTTGTAAAATTGAAGGGACGATGGGGAATTTTGCTAGGTGGAGGCAAATGATATGAGAATGAGATGCCATTGCCCCCTAATACTTTTCCTTAAAATCAGGAAACTGGCATTTACGATAGAAATGACAGCAAACAGAATCTTGTTGAATTCAATTCAATATTTCCGTCTTCGAGATTTTTTTCCTTGGAGGTTTGGGGCCATGATGTTATCACTTATCTACATCTAGAATGCACAAGAATGGCGTGTCTCTGAACTAGTTTGCTGCTCCTCCTTCTTTTTTCATGAGCAATATTAAATTTTATCAATTAATTTAAAAAATTAGTTTAAAAAATAATTTTTTTAAAAAATATCTTTATTTATGAAAAAAAGAGTATAACAAAGAAAATAAAAAATTATTATAATAACAAGAATTGTGACAGAGAGGTGATAGTTTGAAAAACTAGATAATAAACATATTGAGAATTAAAACAAATAATTAACTGGGGAAAAATAATAAATTTGTCACACAAAGTTAAGACAACTTACAAATATTATTTATAATCATAAACAATGGCGTAGTGATAGTTATTGCTTATAAAATAAGAGATAGATGGCGTATTTTAAGTTTGCTTTTCAATAAATGAATTGTTTTCCCCCCTTATAATCTGGTTACGGACAAATTATGTCTCATATTTTCTTATTCAGAATTTAATATTAAATGACACTGTTTGATAATATTTTGTTTGTTATTTGGCCATTTAGGGATTAATTTAGCTCATATTAGCGATTGAAGGAATGGAGGCTAAATTTGAAGGGGGGAGGGGGAGTATATGAATGATGGTGCTATCATGGTCACATGTCAAAATTTGACTTGTATAAATATGAAAGTTTAAATTGTAAGTATTAAATCTCTTAGAGATTATTTACATTAAATGAAATTCAGGAACCTATTTGTATCTAGTTTTCTTATATGAGATCCTTATTGAATATCCTTTGCCTTATAGTAAGAGAAAAATAAAAAAGGCATAATAAATAAATAAAAACACATCATGAGGGAGGGAACCGAACGAATGTTATGTTAACCAAAGATAATATGTTGCTATTATTCAGCCTTTTCAAGAAGGCTATTTGGGCTAGGGGTGTTCACGGGACGGATCGGGACCGGGACAGGCCCGTCCCGATGAACAGTAACGGGACAGATTTTCTGTCCCGTGTCCCGGCCCGTCCCGGGGTTGTCCCGGTCCCGGTCGGGACGGGACGGATCCGGGACGGGACCGGGACGTCCCGAAATAATTTTTTTTTAATTTTTTTAATTTTTTTTAAAAAAATCTAATTTTTTTAATTATATTTTTTTGAGCTTAAATCTTATAAAAACATCTTTTTTATTTGTTTGGGCACTCTTAAACAAAAGCTCAAAATATTACATATAATAGTTATTAAAAACTCTAAACAAAAGCTTTTAACACAATAAAAACTTGCTAAAAATTCTAATAATCAATAATCTCAAATCATTAACAAATATAAAAACTCTAAATAAATATATTCATAGTTCCATACAATAGTCTCAAATCTTAAAAAAATATGAAAAAAATGATATTATATAAAAAATTAAAAAAAATTAATTTTTTTTTTAAAAAGGAACCGGGACGGGACCGGGACGACCCCGTCCCGTCCCGGTCCCTTTTTTGTCCCGTCCTGAAAAATTTCAGGACGGATCCGTCCCGTCCCAATAAGACCGAGACCGGAACGGGCCGACCGGGACGGGCCGGCCTTGAACACCCCTAATTTGGGCTAAACAAGTTTAGAAACAAACTCCTCCAGGGCTGAGTAGAATCTTTAGAGTCAGTGAATATCCCAAAAGGTTATGTTCAATGTTCATAGTAGCTTTTCCTAGGGCAATCTAGCCGTCGTGTCACCAATAGCTTGGGCCTAATCAAATTGAATCCGACAATTCAAACTTGGCCCATGTTATCAAGTCAGAAGAGACAATCATTCTGTTCATGATGCTTTCCATCCGACCCACATGGAAGCTTAAAATCATTCAATTGCCTTGTCCAGCTTGGAAAGAAAGGACCTTCCGCTATGGAAAAGGCACGGCCTGCAATAAATACGAGAGACAAGAGGCAGGCTTAAATTCCACTTGGGCGTACATAATTTTTTGGGCATATCAAACTCCCATTGACATGATTACTTCACTTGGAAATTGTTCTATCAAGTTGTTTAAAGTGGCATTTCTCTTGAGATCGCCCGATGCAAAGAGATAGAGGCAAGTTTGGTAGGAGCACCAGACCTCTAATATTCATCTCTCGCGTGGAGTTGTCTTAAAGATATGCTCCAAATTGGCCATAGGTACTCCTTCGGCCACACTCTAGGAATCTCTAGGTTACGTATTGAAACTGATTTTGTTGAAGCTGCATGATTTATAACTCCTGCCTTTTGTAAACTAAATGTGTGCGCGCACACGCGCGCGCGACAATAAAGACATACAAAGACCTTACGGAGCCTCAAATTTTCTGCTCGTCTAAATCTGTCAATCGCTTTACAATGTCAATAGAAATAGAAAAGGTAAGAAGCAAACCCATGGAGCCGATTCAAACCAACGGCCTCATCATTCATAACATACCAAAACCTAGATTAGATAACTCATAATAATAACGTCTCCGCCGATAATCGAGTTTCCAAGCCCCATCGGCAAGAAGGAAGATTTGTTATTTGGTTTGTTTCACGATCCAGACCTTCATAACCTCCAATTGAGTCTGGTCAGAAACCACTGATAGGATCTTCCATAAACGCCAATCCACTGATCCAGGACGTTGGATTGGCCAAGGGCGATGAATATGCCATTCTCCTGGGTCCTGACCTTGGATTAAAACCATCATCCTGAACCTGATAATGAGCTAAAGTTCCTCTCCTTTCACAAAAATAAAATAAAATGCAGCCACCGGACCTCCCACAACCCACAACAGCAGCAAGCCGGGCATGGAAACACCTCTACTTGGACGTTCAAGTTCAAAAGCTAACTAATTTCTTTGGAGGTTAAGAGACTTCTAATTTTCTACAAGGACGTTCAAAAGCTACCAATCCATTTTCATTGTATGAAGATAACAGACAATAACGAAGAGGTCAAAAGAACACATTCCAACGCACGACATCACGCTGTTACCATGCAGGGATATAGCATCCAATACAGTAACAATCGTCATACATTAAACATGACAACCATACGTTAGTCAGTTTTTTAAGGTCAAATGAAACAACAATAACGTAAAATACATTACACAGCAGATAGGCAGGTATGTTTGCTTATTTCAGTCTTCTATCAGTTCACACCATATAGATTTAATACAGACAGACCAAGCATCGACCAAAGCCCCTGAAGAAAATGTTTCAGCTTTCTGAGCTGCAAGAGGTCTCCCCAGATGATGATGAGTTGTCAGAATGAAGTCGCTTCAATTCCTCATAGGCCCATTCCAGCCCTGGGAAATAATGGACTGGGGGATTAAATCTGCAATCGTTGATATCAGGAGGCAAAAATGCTCCATTCTCTATCAGGAATTTCACCGCAGCCCTCCTCCTTTCTTTAGCTGCAATGTGGAGAGGTGTCCCTGTGGTTTAAATACATAATCGTTAACAAGAAATTGGAAATTCAAAGTGCAAATACTTGCCACAGAAAAATAAAAGTGATGAGGCCCAGCACAGGGAGCAAGAATTAGCTTACAGCCACAAGAACCCTTAGTCCTGGCATCAATGTCAGCACCACGCTCAAGTAATTCATCCATGACTTCAAGATGGCCACCTTCAGCAGCAAGATGAAGCGGGGTCATGCCTTTTGATTTTGGACCCCATGCAATAACATTTACATCCATTCCTTCGTCAATAAGCTTTTTAACCTGTTGAACAGGGCAGTCAGTAGAAGCCTAACAAGCAAACAGCGTGTGACAGAATTGAAAACCACTTTGCGACAAATATTACACCCTCTTAAGGGAACAAGAAATCCAGAATAACATCACTGAGAAAATTACAAATGATCTGCAAGAGAAAAACATTATGTTTCCCAGCAATTCATAGAAACAAATGTATACGCTCATATTTGTGAAACTCAGCTATGAAAAAAGACAAAATTACCTTTGATGAGAGGAAGTCGGAGAGAATCTATCTACACTACAATAATCAAATTAAAGCTAGCATTAAAAAATAACAGCAGAAAACGAGGACGACAAAGCAAATGCTCCCTGTCATGCATGAAGAAAATTTACGCAGAAGAGCATCTAGAAAGAAGGTTTTAAAAAAAAAAAAGAAAAAAAAACTTGTAATTTAAAATCACATGGTTTCTTTCTCGTTAAAATCCCATCCCTATTCCTTACCGGACAAACAGACAGTGAAGAGACCTTGCACAATAGCTTTTCATCCGCATTATAATTACATGCCTAACAACAATCCATGTAGCTGGCACCATCCAACACTAAACAAAATTTGAGTGTATGTTCAAGTGATGACCAGTTCGATTTTATAGATAAAAAATTCATTGCTCCTTTCATGATAATTGACAGGTCATATATTTGCGTCCTCTGTGTACCATTTGCCCCATATTATCAGAAAATCAGATACATGATACTGAAACATGATTTTATCTCTCTTCCTCTTTTTGGGTTTTTTTTTTTGGGGGGGGGGGTCAATAGGAAGATGTTTAAATAGCAATATATATGATATTAAAGATCCATGCCACTTAGTCGGACCAATATATGACTCATCAATTACCAGGATGGTAACAACAAAAAATTTGAGAGAAGTTATTAGTTCTCACTTAAAAATAATCATACACTAAAATTATAAATATAGAATGCGCTCTTTTCTCTTCTTCCATGGTTCACGTTAATTTGTTTATTCATCAGAGGGAAAACATACAAGCTAATTTAGACTCAGATATAGAGTAGAGAAATATCCGTGAAAATTATCAACCAAATATGCATGACTCAAACGTACTAAGGCGTAGCGTAAAGGAATCAAGAAGTAAACTTACCAATTTGAGATCCCCTTTGCGAGCACAAACATGAAGTGAGGTCCACCCCCTATCATCCGTATCTGCCCCAGACCTCAAGGAGCGCCTTCTTGACAAGCTCCTTCGATAGGACCCCGGCTGCTCCTGAGGCATGTCTTTCAGCAATCTAAGTAACCAGTGACAGCTGAAATTTGATAACGAAGATTAAAATCTCTCGAAATTAATATTATATTTCGAAACACCAAGAATCGCCCGCAACAATTGCCAGCTCCTATTCTTGTTAATCTGGATTTAACAAAGAATGAGCCCCGAGAGATCAAGGGCCACCGATTTACATAATATTGCCAAAACACAAAGAGAACTCCCAGAAGAAAAACCAAAGGACGATGAAATTAGCGAGAGGAAACGGAGTGATTCGCCATACAATAGGGTGCGAAAGGATTCAAACCAGGACCAAAAGCACGAAGATTGTGGCAGATAGAAACAGAACCGATGCAGGGGAAAAAGCCTATAATCATAATGGATGCGAAACCCTAATACGCGACAGTAGATTGAAAATATAAAGAAAAACCAGAGATGACTTTGAAAAACGAAGCAGGATAGAAAGGATTAGATGAAGCCTGATTTAATTAGAAGAGAGCTGGGCGGGAACATAGAGGAGGCCGATGCACTGTCCTGCCGATATCAAACCCTAGGAGCGAGAGACAGACTGCGTAAAGAAACCCCAGCTAGAGAGAGACGCAACGAAAGTTTGTTCTGGTGTTTTGCCTTGTTTGGAGAGGCACGTGGTCTTTATGCCTCGGACCGAGGGTATTTTATACGTACTCCTTGGATTTCAAGGTAAGTAGTGATTATTCAAGATTATGCTTTATTAAATTAAATACTTAAGATAAAGTTAAGATTATGACAAGATTTAATGATATCTCAGTTTTAAAACGAAAATACTTAAATTAAGTGAGTTATATTATGTTAAGTTCTCATACAAGTTTATGACCAAGTAGTATTAAATATTAATATTTTAAAAATATAATACATATGAAGAATTTGATGAGAAGTACATTCCACGCTTATCACAATAATAAGCAATTTGAATAATTCAAATTGAATTTAAATCTTTTATATAGTTTAATTAATTTTTTTGCTTTAATAAATACATAATTTAAAATAAAAATAATTTCATAGTTAACATTTCTTTTAAAAAAAGTTATTATTGAACAAATTACATATTAAAAATCTTAAATTTGAATCATTCATATCAGATTTTGAATAGTTTAAATTGTATAACATATGGTGGTACTCTGATTGAAAACCCAAACTTGATGTGAGTATTGTGTTTTTATTAATACCAACAAAAAATATCATACAAGCCGAAATCAATAAAAGAAAAAACACTCAAATTTCATATATCATTGTTTTCGATAATAGAATAATATAAGATAATCAATAAAGATATGAAATATTAAAATGATAATTTTTAAAATAAAATTAAGATTTTGAAATTGAGAAAACTATGGAGCAATTTTTTTTGAAATTTAAATTAAGATGGTTACTTTGTGCATATTCGATAAATTAATTGATAATATTTGACACTACAAAATTTGGAAAAAAAAAGATAAAAATCTAAGATAATAATTGTTGAGAGAAAGAGTTGAGTATTGCTTTTCTTCTTCAAGTATTACTCCCTGCAACACAATTTCTTCTGAAAAAAGAAAAGGTATAAAAGGAAGCCAGATGATAATCAAAATCAACATTTAATGGTACCCCACGTAATATACAAAATACATAAGGAAGGAATCAAGTCTGAATTTTTCATGCCGGATCTCTCTTGAATTTATTTCATGCTGCTCTTAGTCTCTTACCGGACACATCTTTTCTCCGTACGTTGCATGTATTTTGGTGAATGAATATACTAGCATTTATACCTTATAAATGATATGATTTATCATGAACTTTATATTTTATATCAATATTGATTTTATAAGAGATGCTCTTTTTTTCATGGATATTTTAGCCAGGCGCGGAACAAACACAGTAATATGGGGGAAAAAAAAATCTAAAATGCCACTGAAACTTGAATTTGGAAGTTGACTTCAATCCAACCAATGAGAAGAATGGGGAGAAATAATTTTGAGCCTCTTTAGAATTATATTGTGATGTGTTTATAAAAATTGTTGAAAACGGTACAATTTGTTGATGACGTGGTACATTTGGACACTACGATACAAACCCTTGAAATCACATGTATAAATGCTTATAAAAGACTTTTCTTATGTATTAATCTCGTATTTTATAAATCACAATTAAAAAATTGTTTATATATCATTCTAAACCAACATAATAACATTTGAGGTCACATCTAATTCTTATTTACTCATAATAAAAACATCAAAATATTTATCAAATATTAGCTTTGGTATTGATATATTTACATTTAGTTTGGCAAATACTGCCTCCAGTTCTCAACATAAGAGCTAATTGACTAATTTAAATATATCAAAAAAATTAGTTAAGTTATTTATTTGTACTAAATAAGTGTTGTCTTTCTTAAAATATTCTTACTAATTAAGTGTATTGACTAGAACAACTATTATTATAAGGACTATCTTGAAAAAAAATAGATAAACATGAAAGACAAAATAAATTGATACTACCTTCGGTCCTAATTATAAGAGCTAATTGGCTAATTTGAGGAGATTAAGAAAAGAAGTTAAGTTAGTTATTTGTAATAAATAGGTATTGTCTTTCCTAAAATATCCTTGCTAATAAGGTGAATTAGCTAGAACTACCATTATTAGAATGACTATTTAAAAAAAAAATACATAAATATTGGATATGGAGTAGATTGGGATATTATATTTAAGACTAAAATAAAAATTAAATGATATCTCTATATTAAGGACTGGAGGTAGTATCTTATATTTATAATAAGAATATGAGTTAAATGAGTTTTTATATTATTGATTGAAGGTATTAGTAATGAGTTTCTTCCTCATGACTTGTAAAAGGATTAAGTTATAAAGCTAATCTCTATTCTACTCACTCTCTTTTATTTTAAATATAAGAGTTAGTTGATGAGTTTGTTTTAGTTTAAACATAAAACATCAATTAACTAAATTTTCCAATTTTTGTAATTTTTTTAACAAACTATTTATGTTAAGTACATACAGTGGAAGGTATTTTCATTAATGAAGGTAATGATTAAAGGGATACCTTAAAAAGATTATGTATATGTACTACAAATAACTAATCTAATTTCTTTTTATAATATTATTAAATTAATTATCTTGTTGGCCGGAGATTATTAAATTAATTATCTAGCTTAATGATACGAGGGGCATCCACATGCATCATACAGGGGGCAAGAAAAACATGGACGACATATGAATTTGCTCTTCCGTCAATTTGACCGTTTTACCCCTGATCAGCCTCCTTTAGTCATGGGCACAATGGAGATTTCAATAGTGAATGGACCTTCCCTCCAAGCTAGGTTCTCAGCGTGGTTTTGACCAAACCTTTCAGACAAGATGACATATAGGCGGGACCCACCGGGGATGGGCATCCAGCCATCCACTATTATCTCGGGAGCACACTTTGTCATTTGCATATATTCTCTTAATGTTTCATAATTTCCATTTCCCATCAAATACCCTTTTTATTCGTTCAATCAATCAAAACCCTCCAAAAAATTTATACAGAATCAGTTTAATATTTGATGCTTACAAATACTACGGACAAAAAATTACGCATATCCTTTTCAAAATTCTTTTTTATTTTTTTATAAAAAATAATTTTACAAACTCATTGTTTAAAAACAATTTTTAATTAGAGAGTTAATTAGAAAGGTATACTACAAGGATTAAACTTAAAAGTGGGATACTACTAAGTTATAAAGTCATTGGTTGTTATAAAGATTTAAAATGAATTACTTACATGATCTAATTTGTGTCCTCTTTCTTTGGTAAAAAAAAAAAAATTTGTTGCCTCTTTAATTAACAAAATGGAACTGTAACAGAGGAACCGTAGACGAAAAAGTAAGCAGAGGAAGTACGCTAGTGTGAGTCGCAAAAGGACAGGCGTCAATGGAGTGAGATGAGTTCTGGAACGAAGGCGTCGGTCGCACGTACCGTGAGTCTGAGCTCGCACGTGCCAAACAGCCTCCCTCCCATTGGCTGTGCTGATGCCCCTTTTAATTCCAAAAGCATCTATTCACGCACACATACACATCCCGAACACATCACACTCTCTTTGGAATCACACAATTCTCAGAGGCAGCTGGAGAGAGAAGAAAGGAGTTGTTGTTGTTGTTCCCTTCCAGCTCAACTTGCATTTTTCTCTCACTTTTTTTTGCATCCTAGATCGAATCCAGGTGAGCGTGGATTCATCTCTGCTTCATCGGTTTGGTGTGATTCATTTGCTCAGTTTGCTCTAGATTTCGTTTTATTCTTGCAATTAAGACCGATTGACCATGCTGGATTTGTTGCCTGTGCTCTGATTGAGCTGATGCATTGCTTGTGTTTGATTTCAAATGCTGAATTTCTTGTAGTGTGTTTTCAACTGCACTGTAGCTTCCCTCTTGTGCGCCCATACTTCTCCTCTCTCTCTCTGTGTAACTTTTTTTCTCCCAGCTGTGTGGTTAGATAAGTCTTCGGATATCAGCTTTCACATCGGCATCTATGATGCTTTAGTTTTGCCTTTGTTTTTGAATTTTTTTTTCCCGGTTTATGGTAGATATTCTCCTTGTCGGTTGACCGCTTCAGTCACGTAGGGAGTGAGAAATGTGATGGAAAACTTGAAGAGGTGCTTAAAGCCTATCGTATTGTTTTATTTGGTCAATAGTTTCTTAAGTCTTCATGGAGATAGTATTGAAAGAACAGTGATATTGAATTTTAAATTTTTTCTCAGTGTTGGATTAAGCTGTGTGAGGTTAAATTGGGAGATGAGCGATGTTGTTCTCACACCGCCGTATTCCCTCTACTTTTGCTCTTCCTGTCACATGCAATTTTTATTACAGAAAATAATTCATAATTTTTAAATTAAATCAGTTGCAAATTAGCAGGCATAAAAGCTGGTGATAAAATAGGGGCTTATAAGTAACATTTCTCTTGAGACAGAATTCCGTAACTCTGCTGCAAAATGCTAAGACACAAACCTTACTTACATGCCTTAAGATTTATTTGCATGCGTAATTTTGTGCCTGTGCTTCACTCTAACTAAAAAAAAAGATAATTTACTTAGGAATCCACTTTCTTGGTGAGGTTGTCTACCGGTTAGATATGTATTATAACTGTCATATAAGCTATTGATAGGTGCCCATAAAGGCCAACTATAGTTCTTTTTTTTTTGGCCCTATTACTGCTTTTCCTTTGATGAATTATTATTCCAATTCATTCTTTTCTGCTTTTGTTTCAGGCTAGGTTTTTTGGCTGCTTCAGGCAGTTTGGTTTCTTTGGAAGCTGTTAATGTCACTGCCAATTAGATAACTACATGGTGAAGGAACGCATTTTGGATATTGCTGTCTCAGATGACATTTAGCATCTGTATTATGCTTGAACAGTGTTTGCTATGGGCATTTGTCTGATGAAATGGCAATGGCCATGGCTTGTTAATGTTTTGCTGATATGTATTGTAATCACGAAAAATGAAGCCATCAGTCCCGATGGTAATGTTCATAGTTTTTCTTCCTCCTCTCTTTAGTTTGCTACTCCAGCGTCAATAATTGCTAGCTATGACAAGTTTGTTCACACTATCTTATTGGAAGT